GGGGCAGGGGATGCGCCGCCACGTGGCACCGCAAAATTTGTGAAACCCCCTCCTCTGCGGCCGCCACGTGTCCGCGAATCCGCGCGTCCGCGCGAACACGTCCGCGGGCTTCACGGACTGGCGGCGGCCGCGGACTTGGCCGCGCCTCTCCGCCGCCGGGGGGGATACAATGCCTCCAAGTGTCACCACGTAGCCCAAAAACGAGATCTCCGAGAGGAAAAACTCACTTTTTTCTAACGCGATCTTGAACCCAGCGTCTCTCAGAGCTCCCAACGTCCATTCAATGCGCTGCGCATGTCCGTGATAGGTTTCCGAATAGACCAGAATGTCGTCCATGTACACGATGACGCAGAAGTTGATCATCCCTTTGAGTTATTTGCGTCTTGTTGACGAAGTTCTGAAAGGTCACATTCATAGCCCGTTGAAATGTGGCGGGCGCATTGCAAATCCCCATATGACACCGAACCCACTGCCATGTGCCTTCAAACAAACGAAGGTCGTTTTCGGTCGATCCTCCTCCTTGACCAGAATATGATGAAAGCCGTGACGAATATCAAATTTACTAAAATAATTAGCACACCCAATCACATCCAGCGAATCATCAATCCGGGGAAGGGGGTACACATCTTTGATCGTGATATCATTCAGTTTGCGATAATCGATGCAGACGCGAATCGACCCATTCTTCTTCGACACTAGCACTACCGGGAACGACCATGACCCAGTAGCGGGCTCGATCCATCCATTAGCTTCGAACTCCCGAATCCGCTGAAGAGCTGTTTTCCCTCCACCAAGGAATACCTGTAGGGCTTACAGTGGATGGGAGGATGGTTTCCGGTCTGAATTTCATGTTGTATGACTAACGATAATCCAATGTCTGTGTCAGTCATGCTAATCACTCCCTGATATTCTTTAGAATGTCTGCAATTAGGTGATGAATCTCGTCAGGTACGTAGTGGGGCACGTGCAATTCGTACGACTGGTTCCATATCTACACGTCGATCTATTGGGACAAATCGGTATATTCAATCCCCTCTCCCTATATTATATGTATCAACTGGGGCTTAAAGGGGGTCCCGGCAGAAGACACAGAACGACTACTGGGTGTGCAGGTGTCACTGACAATCAGTGCAGCTGCGCAAGACAGAGTGCTCCAAGAGAGGATATGTTCAAGAATATATGGATGGGAGAGGAATCACAAACTTTCTGCAATGGGTAGAGCCCTGGTTCTGTCCTCTGCAGCCCTCTCAATACTGTGGTTTCCACTCTCAGCCCATGCGATGGGAGACAGGGCTTACTCAGCGATTAAACAGGCGGCGGCGAGATACCTTTGGAAGCCATCAGCGTCAGAGAATCAAGGACACATCAATAAGGCTGCCTGGGATGTGATCTGCCAGCCAAGGACGGAGGGAGGCCTGGGCATGATAGACCCCAAAGACCAGAACTGTGCACTACTATGTAAATGGCTGATCAAAGCTTGCTTCAGTGCAGAACAGAAACAGTGGAAACTTCTGGCTAAGTATATACTGAGAAGGGAACTGGCCCTCTCAGACCAGGTACATATATGGCAGTGTCTGGTGGTCTCCAATGTGGCATCTGGAAAGGTGAAATCAAGAGTCTGGTCGGGTATCCTAGCCGCATGGAAAAAGCTGAAGCCGACGCAGCTACGAGCTCCAGACACAAAGTTTGAAATAATGAATTAATGCTTGTTTGATAATAACCTGATCTGCCTCTTCCCTGACCCTGCTGCGTGCTTTACCACCAGGACTGGTAGCTTTGGTAGAGCCTGGACCACAAAAGTGTTTACTTGGTTAAACACCTGTGGGATGTACAGACTGAAGATTGGATTACTCCGGAAAACCTACATTCACACCTCCCCAGACTTCATAAGGTAGAGGACAACCTTAACAGATTTATAAGGGCCATTCCTGTACAGTGGAAAGCTATGCTAAACGAAAACACGGAACACGGAATGAATACATGGCTGGTTCACCCAACAGATTCAAACAGAGTGGTAAAAGTCTTGGGTCCGGATTTGGACCAAGGTACTAAAGTAGAGCAATGGGTCAAAGGGGAAAAACTGGAGAAGGATTTGTTCTCACCAAGGAAGGGGAACTCACTATAGGATCTACCAGAGATCTGCCAGAAGTATGAGTGCTAGACAAGGCTGGACACAACGATAAGATGTGTACTTTATTGAATGGACTGGCCACAGACTATATAGTGGACCCTCTGGTATATGGATGGAAGGGCAACAAGGACACAGTCCATACGCTGATTCAATATTCCCCCAAAGTGGGAATAACTTAAAGGTATGC